GAAAAGCCAATGGATGTATATAACGAGACAAAGGTTCGAGTTTTAGTGTGCCCAAGGTTGCTTTCCATAAGGCAATCGTATTAAACGTGGCAATTTTGAATTAGATGGAAGGCGAAAAACTCGTAATTGCTGCAAATGGAAAAGGCGACCTTCTCACGGTCACCATTCGTCCCTCTGGTATTTTTGGGTGAATATTAAACTTTGTGTTCGATTGTCATGAAATGTCACAGATATAAACACTAACGAACCTAATTATCACAGTCCCAATGATCAGCAACTCATTCCTGCGACAATTAAGGTCATGGAACAAGGTCAAACAAATATTCAAATAGGAAATAACTACAACCTAGTCGATTATACCTATGTCGAGAATGCTGCTCACGCCCATTTATTGGCTTCTGATAAATTGGTTGATGGTAGCCCGGTAGCAGGCGAGGTAAAGTCTGTCTAACGAACACTCGTGATTTATAATATAATTATTTGATTGTGCGTCTTTTTTTTTTTTTCTTTGTCTCTAGGTATTCATTATCACAAATGATTCTCCCGTACCATTCTGGGATTTGCCTAGATATATTTGGGCTCAATTTGGTCATTTTCCGCCTTATATCATCAAATTTCCAGGCTTTGCGGGATCCTTAATTGCATTGTTTGCTGAATACTCATCTTATTATACTGGGAAAGAAACGGGACTCAATAGATACAGAATAAAGTTTACTGTTAATAATAGATACTTTAATATAAGTAAAGCCAAGAAACTATTAGGATATGAACCGATCGTAGACCTAGAGGAAGGTGTTAAAAGAGCTTGCGCAGGGCTCAAAAAAAAAAAAAATAAATGAATGAATGAACCACTGATGATCGAGTTATGCTAAAAATGATGTGACACGTGATAGTAAAAATTCCACCAATCAAAGCAACGATAATCATCTTAATAAGAATACAGATCAAATATTTTATCGATTCTCTCTCTTTCGAAAGGTCTATTGCCTCGCAAACATGGTCAGTAGAGTGACATCCATAAAAGGATCGCCTTGTAGTTTGCGCCGTAGCGTTTGAATCAAATAAAAGTGAAATGATCAAATGAAAAAAATTTTTATCAAGTCTGTGTATCACAAGATATTTCGAAGACAAAAAAATTTTTTTTTAAATGCATCCATCGGGGTAGAATACCTTTTATCATAATCGTTACCAGATTTTTATTAATTCTTTTTAATGAAAAGTAATACCCGAGCGTCCCGTCGCTAATGAAAAAAAAAAAAAAAATGAGATTAGACATTAACCCCGTTCGGCTTGAGTTATAGATGCTTACCTTGTTTCGTTTTTTTTTTTTTTTCTTTCTTTCTTTTTAATAGCCATTCGTCAAAACACAAAAAAACAAAGGTATAAGAGTTATTCGCTTTATTAATGTATCTTTATGCCTCGAGTGATACGCGAATTAACGTCTTCTTTCCTATTGAAAGCCTACTTCAAGCGATACCAAGTTAAGTATCGCAGAAGACGCGGTACGTTCGAATTTTTCATTCTTGACTGGATATTACAGTGCTTAATTGGGTATTGTGATGATAACATAGTTCAGCTGAATCATTTTCATGTTGATCGAAATACTTTTGCCCCTATCTGAAATTCTTATTCTAGATGTTAATGCGCGAAAATCTATCTTTCTTTTCTTTTTTTCTGACCATCGTTTCTAACATTTTTACTTTGCGTAGAGGGCAAGACCGATTACTATGCTCGCAAGAGACTTGTTGTTCAAGCGAAGAACAAGTATAATTCACCGAAATATCGTTTGGTCGTCCGTTTTACCAACACGGACATAATCGTTCAAATAATCTATGCCAAGTTAGAAGGCGATCACGTTATGACTGCAGCGTATTCACACGAGCTACCGAATTACGGCATTAAAGTTGGTCTGACAAATTGGGCGGCAGGTGAACTTTCTTCAGAAGTGGCATATAATTGATTTGATTTCGCAAGCTAATGTTTTTGGTTTCTCGCATTTTTTTTTTTTTTTTTGATCATCGTGCTAATAATTAACAATACTTGCAGCGTACGCTACTGGCTTACTTGCCGCTCGTAGGGTTCTCACCAAACTCAGTTTAGCCGACAAGTACGAAGGTGTCACCATACCTGATGGTAAAGTCAGCACCATCGAGGCGATTGACGATGCTCCACATCCTTTCAAGGCTTTTTTAGATGTTGGCTTGAAACGTACATCAACTGGTTCCAAGGTCTTTGCTGCTCTGAAAGGTTCTTCTGATGGTGGAATTTTTATTCCTCACAGTGAGAATCGGTTCCCTGGATATGATACGGAACAGAAATCACTTGATTCAGAAGTTCTCCGAAAATACATCTACGGTGGTCACGTGGCAGACTACATGCGTCTTCTTCAAGAAGAGGACGATGAAAAATATAAGCGCCAGTTCTCGAAGTTCATCGAGGCAGGCGTTTCCGCTGACGATCTAGAGAATATTTATAAGGAAGCTCACACCAAAATTCGTGAAAATCCCGAGTTCAAACCTACGGAGAAGAAAGGAGACTACAAGATATTCAAAAAGGTTGGGAAGATGATGATAATATTCTAAACTCTCATGCATGTTCTGACCTTTGCAAATTTGCCTTGCAGTACAAGAAGCATCGCCAGAACATCAAGCAGAGAAGGAATAAGGTTAATCAAAAGATTGAAGCTTTCAGACGCGCACATGGAAAAGATGAAGATGAAGAATGAGTATTCGCAGTCATAATTACGGTTGAATAATTGATAATGTTCCAGAGACGAAAAATTAAAAAAAAAAAAATGAATGAATGGCACATCAATTTTTAAAATGTGTATTATATCAAATTTGGCAGATCATTTTAATTAAATTTTCATTAGTCTGTCTCGCCACACTATTTTATAAATCTAAAAGGTGATAATTTAAACATGTTGGTCTTGCGCACTGTAACCCAAGGAAATACGCGAGGATCCTAGTTCTTCAGAATAGTTTAAACACACATTCCTTGTATTCGCTTAAACGTCAACTATCTTTCACTCTCTTTATGAGCGGAGGTGGAATTGATGACGGAGTCATTTTTCTCTTAATCGACATTTGCAGATTATTAACCGGGATAACATTGACCTTCTCGCGTTTAACCTCCTTTTTCACCGTGGGATTTTCTATCACAATATTAATTGCACCATCCATTAATGTCTCGTCATCATGTAAATTTGCGAAATAACGGTTCCAAGCTAGCGTTGACTCTATAGCCGCATCCTCGGATTGGAAGCTCTGATCTAGCAATTTCCCGAGTGCTTTTTTATACGTAGGGACATCGACTATTAGGCCACCAATCTTTTCGATCAAATTTTCAAAATGGCTTTTTTGATCTCCGGAGTTCTCTGAGGTCATCTGTTGACGATCATTCAACCTCGCGTATATCCAGAAAAATCCAGCGAACTGACTACCAGCAAATTCGCCTCCGTGTGACACCAGCTCCCAAAATTCCTTCACCGTCGGAGAATCTCCGATATGCCTCAGCCATCTCGACTTGGCGTCATCCTCGAATTTTGGGATCACGTCAATTGCTCTTTGTATATTCGAGTAGGGGTATCCATACTGCCAAAACTGACTTTCGCGTTCTTCAGCTTCACCGGACACCACGTCATTGATTAGAGTCCGTGCACTTCGTTCATTGGTTACGCCGGGTATAAAAAACCATCCTCGTATATCGTTCACATTTTTGACTTGCGCATCAAAGAAAGTTTGTTGAAGAACGCCCTTCCACCATCTCACCAATTTCGAACACTCCAATATATGTTTCGTTGGATTTTTTGATGAAAGGTGAAATAAGTATTGCGGTTGAGACCGCGCAAAGAGATGAAGTCTAAAAGCTCTACGGTTCGGTGAATTCTCGTTATTTCTCTTATCGAAATTTGAGTAGAAATTCAAGTAGGCGGATACTATATGTCTGGTTGGCGTAACTGAGCCAGAATGGCAACCCGTTGTATCGACTTTTGATATGTAAGCAACTAATGACTCATCGGCAGGATCATGATATTCATGAATCTCTACGCCCGCAACTAAAACCTCTTTCTCAGATCCCGACGTAAAAATCTTTTCAGCTGCAAGTATCAGCACTTTACGACTGAGGAGGGTTGAGTCTGTTGCTCTTACTTCGACATTTTCCCAAGTTTTTGAAGATATCAAAGGTTCGACGGGTGTCAACCTGGTAGAAAGCATGTACAAAGTATACGCGTGCGAACCTGGGACCGCCTTCTTTAGCGAAGCCGCGAGGTGGTCAATGAGACGCGTTCGCTTTTTGTCAGTACCCTCGCCTGTTTATGTTTTATGTCTCGATTAGAATTATCAATGTTTCAAAGGGTAAAATTGCGTATTCACTTAATCATACCGAGCTTCATTTCACCGGCATTTATGTCCATGATGGAAACTCTTCAAATATCAAAAAAAAATTTTTTTTTTTTTTTTAACTGGTTTTGTATAAATACGTGGTTTGTTTTTTATCCATTTTTATAAATTAACAAAATTATTACGTTGTATGATCAAACGAATTAATTTCCCGGTCGATCGGTTAATAAATGAAATTCTACATGCAATCAGGTGATTTATACACGTGGCATTAAAAAAATTTAGATAAGTCAGTTGATGAAAGCGACTCGGATGAGTCGGTCGAAATAAACGATGAATCAAAAAATGCCCGAAATTCTGTATCCGACACCGATTGGCTCAAGTTGAGAATGAGGAGAAGGTTGGATTGGGTGGATGACGAGGAAGAGGAAGAGGTAGGATATCGGTCCTCTTTAATCCCACGTGTTCTTGGTAACGCGGATCCAGTCTAAGTTCGGTTTTTATAATCATTAAGGAATTTCTGTCCGAGGGTGAACACGGTAATATTGGAAGGCAGAACGAAGGGTTCAAGGGCAATGATCTTAATATTCAACAAAGCCACGAAATCAAAGACGAAATGGTACAAAATATTCCTCGTGATGATAAGGATGCTGTGAACGAGGTCCCACCGGAAGAGTCTATTGGTGACACCGGACGTTTGTTCGTTCGAAACTTACCTTATGTGTGTACGGAAGAAGATTTAAGGAAAGAATTTAACAAGTTTGGACCACTGGCTGAGGTATGTGCAATTTGCAATGTCTTTCTGTTACAGTCATTAGGACATTTGACAAATTTAATATGGAATAGGTTCACCTGCCGCTCGACAAGGAAACAAAGAAGCAGAAAGGATTTGCATATATTTTGTATCACATCCCCGAACATGCTGTGAAAGCTTATATCGAACTCGACAATAAATTTTTTATGGGACGACTACTACATATTCTACCCTCAAAAGAAAAGCCACGGCCACGAGACCAAGATCAAAGTAAATGGAGTTTAAAGAAAAGAAAGGAAATGGAATTGAAAAGCCAGGCGACGAATGACTTTAATTGGAGTACGCTTTACATGAATGTAATGACTCCTCATTTATAGTGTGAGTCGCATTTTACTAGTGTTAATTTATAAAACTTTGTAATTGTTTTAGAGCGACGCCATTGCCGAGTCGATTGCACATCGATTTAATGTTAAGAAATCGGTCATCCTGGACCCAGAATCGGATAATTTGTCCGCCCGACTTGCCCTTGCAGAAACACATATTATTCAAGAGACAAAATCTTATCTGGAACATGTATGCTTGTTAATCAATCCATCTTTAGAATACGAATGAATAATCAACTCTTATTAATTTTCTATAGAACGGAGTCGTGTTGGATTCTTTTAAAAGGAAAGAAAAGAGTGACAATGTGATTTTGGTGAAAAATACCAAGTTCGGTATCACAAAAGAAGATTTGACCCAGTTGTTTGGATGGTACGGTGAAATTGGACGTGTAAGTGTGGCGAGATATAATGCAAAGTAATTGACAAACGCGTAGTAATAATATGGATCTATTTACGTTATTTCAGATAATAATCCCACCTGCCCAAACAATCGCAATTGTAGAATTTAAATTTCCGACAGAGGCAAGAAATGCGTTCAAAAATCTTGCGTATAAAAAATTTAGGGGATTGCCTCTTTATTTGGAAAAGGCACCCATGGGAATTTTTAAGGATGAAAATGAACAAAATCCAGAAACAAATGAAAATAACGACTCACCCGCGCAGGGGCTTTCTTCCGCAGATCTCGTTGAATCTTCGCGGGATATGGACGACGATGTTGAGGTATCTTCACAGGTGACTGCTACTTTATTCGTTAAAAACCTGAACTTTGAAACCGACGAGGAAGGACTGAAGAAGGCATTCAGGAGCACTCCTGGCATGAGATCAGCAAGGATTAAAATGAAAAATGACCCCAAAAATTCTGGGAAAAAGTTGAGCATGGGATTTGGGTTTGTCGAGTATGACAGTTTGAAGAACGCAAAGAATTCCTTGAAGGCGATGCAGGTAAACATTTTACGGAAGAATGAATAATAGTTGGATTTGCTCCTCATTGTCATTACGTCTCGAGCGTATTTACATAAAATTTATTCATAGGGTTTCGTGCTGGACGGTCATGCCTTGCAACTAAAGTTTTCAAATAAAGGTCTAGATCAAGTACAAAGGAAACGAAAAGAGGATGAGGAAGCAAAGAAGAAACAAGAATCTACTAAGATTATTGTTAAGAACTTGGCCTTTGAGACGACCAAAAAAGAATTGAAAGAATTGTTCAGGTTAACAACAATATATTTGATTTGATATACAGTAATTAAAACTTTAATATTTTGGCAATGAACCTGAACCAAGTTTTCCTAATGAATTTGTAGTGCGTATGGTCAAATAAAAACCCTTAGACTACCCAAAAAATTTGATGGCACTTCTCGTGGCTTTGGATTCGTAGAATTTCTCACAAAAAGAGATGCTCGAAACGTAATGGAAAAATTAAGTGATACACATTTATTAGGTAGACATCTTGTTCTTGAGTATGCCGAAGAGGACAAGGACATCGAAGAATTAAGAGAGAAAGTTGGAAGAGAGTTCATTGGGAATGTCGAAGGTGGTGACGGAAAGATGAGGAAGAGACGAAAGGTGGATATGGAAGATTGGGCAGAATCCAAGAATGAAATGGAAGAATGAACAGTTTGATGTTATATCTTAAAAAGAAATGGAAACAGTTGATCCATTATTATAAAATTAGCATAATTTGTAGATTAGTTTCATTGAATCAAAAAAAAATCCTCAAATGAAAAATATGAACGACATTTCTTTTTACGAGGAATCAATCTTTATTTCTATCTGTATAATAATTTAATATTAAAATTAAATATTAAAATTATTTTTATTATATATTCTACCTTGCTTATAATAAAAAGTTACAGTAATAATTTTTTTAAACCAATTAAATAATATAAAAACATTATTGTATAATTTATAATAATGGAAAGTTGATCACTTGTTTTTCAATATTATAATATACAGTATCATACTATTAAAAAAAAAAAATCAAAATCAAATAATTAATATTGAAAAGATATATAGATCCCGAAAAAAAATTTCTGAAAATAAAATTTTTTTAAATAAAAAGTAAAATTTTATAATTTCCTATTTTCAAAATTACTTGAATTTTTATTTATTGTATTTACTTATTTTTTCTTAATCCATAATAATAAATATCTTCAATATTATCTTGATTACCATTTAAAAACTAATTTATTTTTAGATCTATAGATTAATAGTATCATAGTTAACATTCTCTAGGTCAGATCACAAAATACAAATTCAAATTCTTTAAAAACAATATCTGAAATCAATCAAATTTGTATCTGTTAACTTAATTACTATTTGATATTTTCAAATATGATTATCAAATCTTTTATATTAAAAAAATCAAATAATAATTAATACAGTAATCTTATCTATGTAAAAATTGTAATCTAAAAATTAAATGATTATAATTAATTATAATTATTTTAACTTGATCATATTCTTATAAAAAGGAATAAAAAAAACAAAACTATTTGAGTAATAAAATATCTTTAATTTTTAAATATGAAATTTTATTAAAATTCTTTTTAATAAAAAACTTTAATAATAAAAAAAATATTTATAAATTAAAAAAACCACTTTTTCTACTGATCCTTTAATTACACACAAAAAAGATGTTCACAAAAAGTTCTTTTACTTCTTTGCTAAAAAAGTCTTAATACTTTTCTTAAAACTCTTTGAATAGTGATTTCAAGAGTCATTTCTATTTTCTTTTACTTATTTATAATTTTTTTTGATCAAAAACTTGACTTTTGATAATCAAGAACAAGTTAAGTAATACCTTTAATACCAATAATAAGAAAGTTTTCAAAGAAAAAAAACTAACAATGAAGTATTTAAAGATTTTCTTTATCTTTAAAGCAAAAGATATATAAAGATTTTTGATGGCAAAAAAACTTATTTATTTCCCTTCCAATTACTTGTTGACCTCTTAGAACTATTATTTTCATAATTTCTAAAGAATTTTGTTTATCTTAGTTTGATCCTAAATTTTGAATAATACAAATTCTTATCAAAGATAATTGGCTAACACAAAACATATTAGTTTTAATAAAAGTAAATAAGCTTTTATTGATTATATTCACATGTCTCTATTATATTATAGATAATATAGGAAAAAAAGTTCTAGAAGAAATTTCTCTTTAACTGTGTATATTTAATCTTCAGAAAATAGTTATAATACTGAAAGGTAGGATAGATCTGTATAAAGAAATTCCTATTCTTTTCTAAGTTTCTCAAGTAATAAAAAGACTTTCTAATGTAAAAGCTAAAATCTTTTGATTTCTCTTGAACTATTCCAATTCAATACATATTTAAATAAAAATTCATTTGATATTACAGATGGTAACATATATTATTTAAAAAATATAAGGTATTTATTAAGTTAGTTTAAACTAAACAAAACTAAGTCTTAGATAAGTACTCTAAGTCAAATTTAGGAGATAATATTTTACTCTCTTAATAACTTGGTACAATACTTTTAAGTTAATTAAGGTCATTGTCAACAGTTTGTTACTGTTGATTATTCTAAAAAACAATAAATTGTTAAAGTTTATACTAAAAAAAGAAAAGATTAAAAACAACTTAAAACCTTTTAAAAGATTTTTGTTTTATTTTATAATCTTTTTTTGAAAGAGATCTTGCCTAATTAAAACATTCTTCTTTGCTTCATTTGTAGTTGTTATGTAAAAAGGTTTGTAGATTATTTTGATATTTTTTAAAATATCTTAATAAAGACAAGCTATTTTGATATAATTGTAAATTTTTTTTTTTTTTTTTTTTAACCCGCAGTCAGGTTAGCATGGCGTGTCTTTATTGTATATATACAAAGATATTTAC